TTTGACTTATATATCTGTACTTCCAGTTTTAGTTTTTTCTCTACATGCTCTGGTGGACCTGTTGCATGCTTGCTAAGCATATTTTAGTTCCTCAACTAAAATTTTCTTCAATTTTTATGAAATTACTTTCAAGTTTCCTCAAGGCAAGCCTCTTAAGAATGTGGGGAAGAACTTGCTTGATTACCTCATTCATGCAAAAGTGAAGCTTGGATTGAGATGTTTTAGGTTTTGCAGCTACCCATGGACTTGCCTGAGAGGCAAGGCAGGTCCCAAATAGAGCAAAAAATGTCATAGATGAGTAGAAAGAATACCTGAAAGACGGACTTGTATTTGGTGCTGTTATTGACATTGTATGCAGAAAACCGAGAAGAAAGAATCCATTGTTGGATAAATTTATTGCTAATCTGGTTTAACGAATTCATTACTAATAGTAATATTTTTGATTGGTGGTCTGGAGAAATGAACTGGGCTGTTAAAGCATCAGTCAGTAACCCTTTTATGGAAATGGAAGGCATGCTCTAGGTGATTTAATTTACTAAGCCATTGTTTGAGCCCCATTTTGGGGAAAAGTGTATTATTGAATAATGTTTTTTTTGGAGAATGTGTGATTAAAAAGTAAGAAAAAGTTTTTGATTTATGTGTAAAATTATTTTATTGAAGTAAAATCCTGGAGTATTGATTTGAAGTAAAATCCTGGAATATTGTACTTGGAATGACCACAGCATTGGTGAAACTGCAGAATAATTCCTTATTGATTCTGCTATGTTTGACAATATGTATTAACTTTTCAATCAAGTAAAAGGGTATCATGTATTGATTGTTGAAATTTAATTGAAATCCATACAAATTATGCTGAGTTACATTGGAATTCTATCACAACAACATAATTAATTTGTGCTTTTGACTGTTTTTCTAACAATCAACAAGTGCAAAGTAACATTAATTTATAGTCAATGCATATAACTAAATTCAGTGTAATAAAAACCTAAAACATTACTTATCTATAATCATTGTGGAGGCCTTGAATTTTCACTTTGTTTTTATAGGTATAAGGAGAGAGATCGAGTGATGGAAACCTTTGATAAGGACCTTCATTTACGTGTTACTTGCATTGATGCTACAGATCAATTTCTTTGCCATACTTGATCATCTCTTTTTAAATTATAGGATGCTGGTATAATAATGTTTGGCTTAGCATTGATACTGAATTTGATTATGTAT